CCGTGTCCATCATCCCTGGGGGGGGGGGGCGCAACTGCGAGAGGTGAACCACCCCTTGAACTTTGAGGGCAGGGATGTCAATTTCAACCTTCTCCTGAGCTCGGCTAGATGTAGCGACCCCAGTAACCCGCCCCAAAAACGCGACCCATCTGGGCAGACTTTCCCCGTTCTGGAGGGACTTGAATCTGATTAGTGAGATACATGGGCCTTGAAGAAGCCTGCCTTCCGCTTGATGCTGGAACTGAGATTGGGGCCCTGCTGAGGAAGCGCGTGCCTTGGGCTGGCTAGTGGCAGCTCTACGCTTGGGGCGGCTACTGCGGGCTCGAGGAGAGACCCCCTGTTGATCCTCAAAGTGACCTTCGACTCCTGAGGATGGTTCTTCTGCTTCTGGATTGCTCCCGTCGCTCTCCCAGGTAACCTTGCGTTTGCTGCGCACCGAGCTACCAACATCCATCAGGTGATGCTTGCATAGGGGGACCCCTTGTTTGGCTCCATCGTGTGATTCATAACATGAGAGCACGCTGCACTTGCGTCCGGAACATGCTGCCACATACAACTGTCGGTGGTGATCACACAAGCGGACCGCTTGCCTGCCCTTGACATCAGAAAGACCCTTGTCACATTCAAGGAGTCGGACCGACTCCCCAGCTGCTTGATCCCGACATGGTTCATTGGCTAAGGCTCGCGGCTTGCCACCATGGGTCAATCCAACTAGGACGGCCTCGCAAGGATCTTCCAGGACCTCAGCTTCAGATTCCGACTCAGGGTCAAGGGGACGGAGACCTCCATGATCCTGAATGGTACGGGCTGGTTGAGGGGTATCCATCAGATATCGAAGGAGCGTCCACCCAGAGAGTACCCCGACCATCTTCCAGACGGATCGTCCGACACTTCTGAAACATCTGGTAAAGAGCACCATCAGTCGCCTGGTGGACCACCCGGCGTACGCTCCCAAATCTACCACGCTGTTGGCATCCACCACTGCGTAGGTTTTGCAGTGTATACCCGGTGTAGGGTGGTTCTCAAGACTACGTTGCATTTCCCGGCAAAGGTGGACTTTACTCTCTCCCTCCAAAACCTGCCTCAGATTTCGATGGGAAACACCTCGAACTTCTCTCAGCCGGACCCAAAGCCCATTCCGATCAACGCGTGCCCAGTGGTCGCAATCGGGTTTGACCCTCGCTGCCTGGCCATTGAGCAGAAGCACCACATCGTTGGGCTTTCTCTCAGTCCCTCGACCCTTGACTCCTTTTTGTAGGAAGTCATTATCAACACTTTCCCTGGAGCCGGGGCCTCGGATGGCTAAGGATTCGTAAGTGTGGGTTGCCTGCAACTCAGGCAGAAGATCACTTACCTCCCGTGCAACAGCTTGAGTATGACGGGTGCAGCAATCAAAAAGTAGCCGGATCGGCCGGAAGACCCAAGTCAACGCATAGATTACCCCAATGGTCAAAACTGTAATCAGCGCTAGTAGGGTTCCCCAGGCAATCCATGGCCAAAATTCTCCGCAGGTAGCGAGTCCAAATCGATCAAGAAAGTAAAGCCCCCAGCCCCCGGAGGAGCTAAGACTTCCCTTCTGTTGTGGGGTGCTAAACCATGCTGGTCCCATCCAGGACCTGATGTCAAAATGGAAAACTGAGTGACCCCACACATGAGCGAAAGTGTTCGCATCTCCTGCGTGAGGAGCGGAACGCTCACCTTCCTCAGGGGCCATCCTGGGAGGGGCGGTCTCGCCCACGGTTGCGTCTGGGAAAATCTCCTCCACCTCATCCGAGGAGTTGGAAGAAAACCACCAGACCCAATCAGCCGGGGGGCCTTGAACAAGCTCCAGGGTCAATGCGAGGCCCAGCACCGATAGCCATGGCCCACCTAACATTGTGACACCTGTCCTATTCAAAGCAGTCCCTAGGCTGCAATCACTTGAGCCAGTGAAAGCAGCAACCCAAGCTAACCCTACGTTCTGGCGAACACACGAATTTGTTTGCTGTGGCTCGGAGCCCGCATCTGTTCGGATGTCAGTAACGGCGACATAGACGAGTACACCGCCAAGAGGTTGTCGCGGGGTTTTGGTTAATTACCCAAACGGCGAAGATGCTCGAAAGAAGAGATCTCAGGAATAGCTGGATTTGAAGATATTGACAAGATTTCATGCAGCCATTCCACTTGGTGGAGGCGAAACCTGACGGAAAGAAATAGATCTGACAGAGAATTATTTGTGCATAGTGGCCTTTTGCCCAAGAGAGAGGCATCCTGTTCCTTACTTCTCGCCACGCTGTGGTTGAGATGTTGTGGCAAATGCTTGACTTCCAGTCTTAATTTGCCCCCTAAATCCTCTGAAATTGTAGTGGGCCACTCTTCAGGCGACAGCGGCGGGGGCAAAGCAGTGGAGGTGCCTTGACACACACACACACACACGCCCAAAAAACCGCCCAAGCCCTACGCGCTGCCGCAAATTTTGCTGTGTGAATTAGTGTCGGGGGTTTTCGCGGAACACGAAGACAACAACATTGAACGCAAATCCACGTTCGGCTTCAAAGCTCCACATGACGTCCCGTATCGTCTTACAATGTTTGGTAGAACGAGCGCTGAATGTATCGTTTTGCAAGTTTTACATCTTTCGCGCGGTGGAATTTTGCAACCAACAATGAACGTACAGACAACAAATACAAATACAAACGCACAGACAACAAGACACAGGAAGCCCCATTATTCGTGATCATTCATGATCTGAGAGCGTCCTCTGCACACACTGGAAGTGTGACAAGCTCCGGGACAACAGCGCGGAGGGCTGCTCCAGCAAGCGCAACATGATCGTTCGCTGATCTGATCTCTGTCACCAGATTTGCCCATGGGGCACTGTCTGACGAGCTTCCCTTTTGCGCTCTCTCGTGTATCGTTGGGGTATCGATTTGGGGTATCGTTTTTTATGTTGATTTTTTGTATATTTTATGACGCGTGGTGCGTTAAAACCGACGGCGCCCAACCCAAAGACACCTGCCAATCTGCCGGATTTTGCCACGTCCAAACTTTCTTCGGGCGTTCAAAAAGCCCTCCTTTTTTTTTCACACGGATCTTTTTCTTCTTCCTCCTCATCTTCTGCTTTCTGAAAGGAACCGGCGTGTTTGGCGTGTTTGGCGTCAAAGGCCAAAACAAGCATAACACTGCAAACCCCATTATGCCAAGGGCGACTGCCCAATTCGAAAAGGACCTGGGCAATATTGCCAGAAGTTTCAGCAAAAAGCTGAGACCTCATCTCTCGGTACAATGCGCCATGGGTCTCCATGGTTCATGACGTCACGGATCCAAGCACTCATGCGGTTCAAAAGCCAAATCGGAAATGCTCCGTCAACGAACTCTTGCGCGCTTGTTGCCGTGGTCTCAGACTTGCCGGCATTTTGCCGGTTGCCAAGGACAAGAAGTTCATGCGGCAAACAAGGGCGCACTGCAACGGTCTGGGCCGTTCCTCTGTGCCGCCGCCCTCGCGAGCGTCATGGCTCGCTGACGGGCAATTCTTCCGGAGGGGGCAGGGCCCAAGTCCTTTTGTTCGCTGCTGAGGCTCCTTGGACATATCATCCAAACGCGCTGTCAAGCAAGGCGAGCTGAAGCAAACACTAAACCGGAAGCATTGGAGGATCGTTCATTGTTTTCTTTGTACTTCTCCTTCAACCAGCGCAACCGTTGCAGGAGCGGAACCGACTGGCGCGCACAGTCAACGGGAACACGGCGCCGGAAAGCCCAGCTTCGATCCATGCTCGTTTTCCCTTGGTCTGGGCTGTTTGCATCTGAGGCGCCGCCCCATCATTGAGATCACTCCCTCCTCTTGGGGAACATTAGAGGGCCAGCCGCCCGCCCCGCAACGCGGAGAAGTTGCCGGACAAGCAAAAGTACGTACGTATAATATATTTATATATATATATATATATCGTTCTATATTTCTTTGATCCCTCCTCCCAAGCAAGATTGGGCTTGACCCCCCTTCGTCAAGTTGCCTTTTAAGTCTTCTGCGGTGGTAACTGGACCTTTTTTTTCCGGGCATTTCCAAGCAAAAATGTTTTCTGAGTAGTTCATGGAGCAGTTTTTGGGCATCGCTCGAAAGCGATTGAAAAGTGTGAGGTTTTGAGCTTTTGAACTCGCGGAAAAATTGAGGCCTCCAGAACGTCCCTTCTGTAGGAATTTGATCCGCAGGGATAGCCCCCTGCAGGACCTTTTGGTTTTTCACGGCAGGACCTTTTGGTTTTTCACGATTGGAGTTGGAACCCAGGAGCCCCAGTTCGTTGATTGGAATTCCGACAGTGAGATCGACCTCATCGTGGCTGGCAACCAGCAGATCCAATACTTCGAGCGGCGCAACGGTGAATTGAATGAAGTTTTGGATCCGGGACTTGGCAACGTCACTGTGGGCAACCTTGACCACTACAGGCATCATCTCACAGTTTGGACATGGTGCTGAGGGGGGCTAAACGGTAGAATTGTTGGTGGTGTGCCGAAATAACCACAACCCTACATCAGGCAAATGGAACTAGTTGACAGTTCATGAGTTTGCCAGGCTGGCTGCGGTCGATTGGGATCAGGATGGAGACGTGGACTTGTTGATGACTACGGATGAAGGGCAGATCAAGTATTTCGAGCGGTCAGGGGGAAGTTTCTCGCTCTTGAAAGTGAAATCGCCCTGCTTTGTGCACCTTCATGTTTAGTCAGTTTAATCATGTTCGGCGAGAAATCCCCATGCCACTTGCTCCGACAGAGCAGTCAAGGCCTAGTGGAACTGACGAACCACTCCTTTCTTCATATCAATGCCACCCCTCCATGGCACTACTCGAGCCACTTGTCACAATTGGCAATATATTGAAACGAATACATCTTTACAAAACTGACCACTGTCGCCAACAATATGCTCTGAGATCTGCTTTGAAATGTCCTATTCATCGCAAACGATGTTCAAGAAATCCTTGCCGTACTGTTTTCGTTGAGCTGAGCGCTCGGCTGACATTGACCTTGCAGGCTGGGCCTACATGCCGGAGATCCACTGCCTTCAGCCAGTCGTGGCAGATTGGGACGGTGATGGGGATTTGGACCTCCTTTTGGCACCTGCAGGGCTTTACTTTGAGAGACTAGCAGATGGCAGCTTAGTGGAAATTCTGCAGCGCCTTGGCCGTTTGCCAATGTGGAGAAGGTAGAACGAAAGTGTTCTGAAAGCCAGGACCCAAGTCCTCCATGTTGACATGACTCAATGGGATCAATCACGGCCAATCAGTAAAAGGGTAGCAGATAACACTTTTGGTTGGTACTTAAGTCTATCCCCTTTCTTCGGTGCCTAGTAGCATCGGTGGTACAGCTACCCTTTTACGCATATAGAGAGAGAACTCGGCAGCTACAAGCTCGCCGCCAACGAAGTAGCTAATAGGAATGGCCTCTAACCCAATCGCGATGGCCTCCAACCCATTAGCAATGGCCTCCGACCTAGCAGCGATGGCCTCCAACCTAATCGCGATGGCCTCTAACCCAATCGCGATGGCCTCCAACCTACTAGCAATGGCCTCCAACCTAGTAGGGATGGCTTCCAACCTAATAGCGATCGGCTCCAACGATGTCCTCCAACCGCCAAGCCTTATTTGCAGTGTCCTTGAAATCCCAAAATTATGTTTGTCTTGCTGAGGAACCCTTTTGCAGACGCGGTGATCGAGAATCCAGCAGAGCAACTGAGACAGATCAGACAGGTGACGAATAGCAATGTGTCACCAGAATCAGAGGCCATCTTCGGCTACGAACAGTTTCCAGGTCTAACGGTGGTGTGACTGTGTGACTGTTGGTGAAGACGCAGGGAACTCAATTGCTAAAGGTAAATGTCTTTACCTGTAACGCCGCAAATGGCAACTTACCTGGTGTTAGCCCTGGTATCACTGAGAACTCAATTTTTGTCAAAGTTCTTATCTGGTAACTTTAACTCAACTGTTCTTTCATCATTTTCGCAAGGGAGGCAAGCAACGAACCGGATGTGAGAAAGTTGTGGCGTTTCAGCATGAAAGGAAAAAACGAAAAGTCATGGTACGGTAGGGTCATGTAGGGCATAGCTCACCGGCGTGAATTGGGCTGCAAGGCATCCCCAGGCTGTGTCAGTTTGGATGGTAGGGCCGCGGTTTTCTGAATGTCGCAGGTGCAACAGCTAGCTTCCAACAAAGCATACTAGAGAGAGAGAGAGAGTACAACAGAGAGCTAGTTGTGAGCTCATCGCGCACAGTAGAGGCCATGACATAACGTAATTGCCCCTCGCAGTATGGGCCTTCCACGATTTCGTTTATAAGAAGCTACTAGTAACAAGGGCATCGCTACCAGCAGCAAGAAGCTGCTAGTAGCTCCTGGCATTAACACCAGTAGCAAGAAGCTACTAGGAGCAAAGGGCATCGCTACTAGGAGCAAGGATGCTACTAATAACAAAGTATCATGTCCAAGTTTCATGATTCTTTCTCCATGACTCTGAGAGCCTGAAAGATCGGCCGCTTAGCCCTCCAAGCCACATAGCAATCGCTAGTAGAACCCTCCGAGCTATAAGTAGCAAGGCGCCTTACTACTAGTAGCTTGTTACTACTAGTAGCTTGTTACTACTAGTAATGCACCTTGCTACTAGTATCTAGAAGCTACTACTAGCTTTCGGGTTCTAGTTTTGGACCATTTTTTGCACCAGGCCTTTGCTCAGTTGGGCCTTCGAGTTGGGTTCACGCAGGTGGAGATTGGAGGTCAGGTGGATGGGCCGATACATCTCATGTGAAGCCCATGCACCCTGCAACATCCGGCATGAGAAAGTCAGCCCGTAGCGTCCTTGTTACTAGTAGTACGGCCATGAGCCCCTCGTAGCTTCTTGCTCCTAGTAGCGATGCCAGGAGCCCCTAGTAGCGTCCTTGTTACTAGTAGTGGTGCCAGCCAAGACACCTATCTTCTCATGAAAGTGAAGTGGGATGCGCACGGTGGCATTTAACAAGCTGTTCCAACAGGGCCCTGCTTGCAAGTGCTTTCTTGCTTTCGTAAAAAGAGATCTTTGTGACTATCCATCGCCGCCCCCGAGGCAAGGTGGCATGGGCTGGAAATATGTAACCTGGAGAGCGGTGGATTGCAATGGTGATGGAGCCCTCGACCTCCTCCGAATCCATTCAGATGCATCGCAGGAGGGTCTCCCAGCTGAGCCAAACAAATTGTAAAAATGACCTCTCAAGTACTGGATGTTTAGTCCTTTTCTGCCCTTGCATCATCCCTGTTGCTTCGCAAGGGATTCGACGGTCTTTGTTAGTTGCATGCCTGAACAAAAGATGCAAAGTGTTTTTCGCCAAGTGCCACAATGCCACGTGTGCTCTCCAAGGATTTTCCAACTACTTCGCGAGTCTCAGATGATTGCTTCAAAAAGGTTTGTGTTTGGGCCCGAACAGCTGGTCAGGCAGACATGATTGTAGCCACCAGTTGGCCTGCCCTAGCCCTGGCAGTGTAGTTTTCCACACTCGGTGTGAGCAAAAAACGCTTCGACCAATTTTTTTTTTTGCCTTGAACACCTGTCTCCATGGGGTGGGGAGACAACTCCAAGCCCAAGGGTTTTGCCAGTCTGTTCCAGGAATTGCAAGCAGGAGAACATGAATTTCACTTGCTTGAGGGACTTCCAGTGTCTTGATGGGGAGCCAACATCGTTTCTCCAACAGACACGGCCAGAAGAGATTGGTTGGTTGGAAGTTGCAGACTGGAACAAAGATGGACTTCTAGATGTGGTACATGTAATTGGTGACCGTGATGTCCGTTTTTGGATGAGTGGCTTTTGCTTGCCACCTCTGGCGTGCAGCGGGAAGGGGACTTGTCGGCCTGCTGCAGGGAGGTGCGATTGCATTCAAGGGCATCAGATGAGCGATTGCTCCGCTTGCAGTGAGGGATACTACACACCGGATACCCGGACTTGACATACTTTTTGAAGTCAGAGGGTTGACCTTAAGAACCCATCAATTTCTTGATGTTGCTAAAAGGACGGCCAAATGCCCCACTTTTACAGTAGAGGATTCCACCTACACACCAACTCAGAGTTCGCCGGGTGCTTTTACCTTGAACCAAGGATGAGTTTTTGATCTCAAGCCACAGTTGCTTGCCATGCGCGGGCGAAGAAGATCACCCTTGCTCTAGAAGGGGTCAGTGCTTGGACGATGCATTGGCCAAGCACAATGGAAAAGCAGACAATCTCTCCAATACTTCTGTGCAAATGGCCACGGGCAACTGGGTTTATGCGCTTACTATGCTAAGACAGAGCACTCACTAAAGCAACATAGAAAAGCATTGAATTGACCCCCATTGAATGCCAAAGCATCTTCTACCGAAGAGTTGAAAGTTGTTTCGCGGTTGTCGTGCCCTTTTCTGGGTTAATTTGTAATTTGCTTTTCTGGGACGGATAGGTTCGCTTTGAAAGCAAAATCGGCAAATTGGTTGGTTTCAAGGAGACTTGCCAAGGCGATGGGAATTGCAGCTGCACCGAACGCTTCTTCGGTGGGTTTGATTCCACGGGCCGCTTAACATGTGGTGCTGGATTATGTCCCGGAGGTTCAGAAGAAGTCTTCGACGAAAACGATGCTCAGTCAAGATTATTAAAGATTCAAAAGTTTGCGCAAAGTTTAACTTAAAGCGCCTTTTTTCTACAGTTGTTGTGAAAAAAACACAGGTTGTGGCATTGACGTAGATGTTCTACATATTCTTTGTCAGGACTTCACCAGGGCTACAAACAAGTGACTGACGCTGTGACACGATCAGAAAAATCACAAAGCCAAACCGTAGAAACTAGCGATGGCCTGTTTTGGGACTTGCTGGTGTTCGAACGACCTCAGATGTGCCCATGGTTCGCTTTGAGGACCAGACTTACCACTGCGAAGTCTGCCCCGCCGGCCGCGCCTCCCCTTCCAACGGAAGCCGCTGCGTGCTGTGCGAGTCAGGGCGTTCTGCGGTGGCCGGCAGCCAGGAGTGCCAGGCAGATGACCACAAGTTTCACACCTTCGACGTGTGTCAGCGGATCTTGCAGCGCAAGTGATATGCAGCACTCAGACTTTGTGAAAGCGTTCTCGGGTCGAGTTGCACCCTTTTGGAGGTAACTTCACCCGAACAAAGAATTGGGGATGACTGATATGGCTATGGGAGTCCCATAGGCTCGATTTGTACCAGGGAGCTTCAAGGTTCAACATTCGAACAGCCTTGGGTCAGAACATGCAGCTCCTTGTCAAGAGGGCCTATCCATGAATTCTATCGATTGAGATTTTGCTTGGCTCATGTGGAGGTTTCTCCTTTGATTCATCTTCTTGCTTTCCTATCAAAGCTTCAAAGCACCTCCAGCTGTTGGGAATGTTGAGAATATTCTTCCCTTTGGTAGCTTGTAATGCAGAAGCGACAATGAAAACACACACCTGCACACAAACGCCTGGCCTAGAACACATGCAGCATTGTGCAGCAACACGGTCGAACTGGGCGACTTGATTCTTTTGAGATGTGGTGATTCGATCTGACTCAACTGCCCCTGAAGGTCCAAAAAGATAACAATCATTGTAACAACCGAGCAGGGTGCATACTTCTGCATGCTGCCCTGTCCTTGGATCGCTGATCGTTGTGTCCAATTGTTTCCAGGCCTGCTCCCCCGGTGCAGTCGCCCGCTTCACTGGGCTGGGCGCTTGCCAACCATGCCCCGCAGGGACGCACGCCAACCAGGCAGCGACTGCCTGCTGGCCATGCTTACCAGGCACCATCTCTCTTGAGGGCAGCGACGCTGAGACGTTTGAGACAAATTTGTTGATCTTCCTGTTCCTTTCCTGCTTGCCTTTTTCCCTTTTTGTTTTGTTGTTTCTTTGGACCTTTAGCTTGAACCTTTCTTTGTCCTTTCTTTGCTATTCCCAATGTCACACTCACGCAACTCCAAGGAATGCAGAAACTGCACTGCTGGCCGCTTCTCACAGCTTTCTGGGAGTAGCCTTTGTGAAGGCTGTGCCGCTGGTTCCTTCTCGCTCCCAGGGAGAGACTCGGCTTCAATGATGGGCTGTGGACAAAACCTGCGCGGCCGATTTTGGAGCTTCCACACTGGCAGTTCCCACACCCCATGGGTCTCATCATCAGGACTAATGAAGTTGACCGGACATGACTCACCACAACTGCTTCACCACTTTGATGGCACGCATGAAGTTCCTATGCGTGTTTTTTGCCTACTTGATGTTGAGCTGGCTAAGTGTCATGGTATACCCCCTGTGAATCTTTGGACTTTCCCGCAGCCAAACTGGGCAAGCGCCGCACGACCAATCCCACATATCGACAACTTCTGTGCCTAAAGCCACCCATGCAGGGTGTCCTGTGCACCTCGCACAGCCGTGGCCTAATTATTTCATTGCCAGACTGCTTTAATGGTTTTAGTAGAAGATGTATTTCACATTGACATATAAGCTTCCGAGAACTGCACTATTGAGAGAACACTGTTCTCGCCATTTATTGTTCTTTCAATGTGAGTTTCGTATTTTAGTTGTATTTTCGGAAGAACCTTCAGCCGACATACAGGGCATTGGGCCGCCGATACTCCAAACCTGGAAGGTTCCGAATCAAAATCCAAGCAGGTGCCCTTTGTTCCTAGTAGCTCCTCGTTACTACAAGTGAAACGATTCCCAGTGAAACGATTCCCAAGGAAGCTTCTAGTTGCTAGAAAGCTTCAAAGACATACTAGAAAGCTTCTTGTTACTAGTAGCTTCAAAGACCTACTAGTAGCGTCCTTGCTCCTAGTAGCTTCCTGTTAGTGGCCTGTTGAAAAATGAGAAGCCCATCGTTTTGACCAAAATGGCCACGCTTGTCCCTTTGCTTGAGGCAAGCCAATCAATGAAGTCTTCAAGTGATGCAGGTTACGGTTGGCCTTTGTCATCAGTGTTTTCATATTTTATGGCAATCCCACCTTGGGGTTCTTGGGTTATGGTTGGCATGCGCTGAGGCTCCAAATGTGACCAATGCCCAGCTGGGACCATATCTGCTCCAGGAAGTGCCAAATGCAGTCACTGTGAAGGATATTTCCTTCAAGCTATTCCTGATGAACAGCACACGACATGTCAACCAAGCGCAAGAAGTTGGAGCATGAGTTCGGCCCCTTCTTTGCAGCATAGTGAAAATGATGCTGTTCCAAGAAGTCATGTGTCAAATTCATTGAAAGGAGAAAAAATGCCAATAGCACTTTTAATGGCGCACAATGAATATATTACTATGTTGCCTCTCCCGTTCCTATGTATACAAGTGTGCTGGCAACAAACCCAAGAAAAGCAACATCGAACCAACTCGAACCTCACCTAGAAACGTCTTACAGGAGCAAAGCTCCCACCGCGACAAATGGCCTTTAAGAGGACGGGTGAACACGCATTTGCATCAGTAGACCAAAAGGAATTCCGCACTGTATGTTCCCTCTCAAAGTCGACCACACCTGCATCTCCAAGGTCTTCTTTGTGTCTTTACTGGTTCTTTTCCAGCTGCTAATCTACACGTTCCGCTACCATCTCTCCATCGTGGACATCTCACCGATGAGTGGCCAGATGATCCTGACCGTGCAGCAGGCGCACCACTTGCGCGCATGGCGCAAGCTTCGGCCGAAGATCATCATGGCCAACACCGGAGCGCCTCAATTTGACGAGGCCGAAAGGCTCTATGAAGTGGGCTCTTGGGGCAACTGGGATAGCAAGGCTGGCCTGTTGCTATGTTGTTTGATGTTCTTTGTTAGTAAAGGAGAAGAAGAAGAGAGGATGAAAATCCCATTTGGATGTTTTCCTGAAAGCTGCACTTGTGGTAGCGAAGGCCCATCACATGCATGTTTGCAGTATGACAATCAGGTCAGGTGCGATTGAGATTCAACAGGACATAAAATTTGGGTTGAAAACATGCAGGGCAAAGGGATGAGCAGGATACCTCCAAGAATCTATGTTCATGTATGGAGTCCGGCAAAGTTCTAAAGTTGAGATCCTGGGCAAAATGCGACATGTTATGACGATCTGCAAAGTGAGGCAGTGATCAGCTGCTCCTTTTCCACCCTGCCGACGACCATGTTGATCCCAACGCACAGACATCTATCGGAGACGTGCGCGTGAATTTTCCAGGTACACTCGTTCATGTGCATGCGTTTCAGATTCCACTTCTGGTGTGGCTCCTTCTTTTTGCCGGCGGCACATTTGCATCTGCTTTCTACTTGACCTTCGACGGGATCTTCATCATCACTGGACTTAGCCTACTCAGTTGTTTAGCCTTAAACATCGCTTGGAGATATCTTCGACCCAGCCACCCCTTGGCCAAGAAGCATGCACAATTCCTACAGCTCCGAGCCAATGTGTCCGCGTGCGGGCGCGGGCCCACACGAGCACTGCAAGCCCAACAGCTTCAAGACTTCCGCGACTTTTTCCAATCCTTCATCAAGGCGGCACGGGAGACAAGAGCAAGGATGTGTTTGTGTGTTTGCAAGGTCATAGACATCCCTAATGGATGTCCTTTCAGTGAGACGTTGCCCCAATTTGGGATTCTTTGGGTACAACTGGTTCATCATGAAGAACGATTTTTTCCAGGTTCCACCGTCCTGACATGTTGAATGGCCATTTGGCTAGTTGCATCACTTGATGAATGAAGATGGAAATAAACAAAGACTTCACGCGGGCTTTGTCAATGCTTCGGTCTTCAGGATCGCTCCATGTACTATGTTTGCGAGAACCTGGTGAAGCCCTTGACCAAAGAGGTTCGCTTGTCCTATGCCGAGTTGGTCGGTGCACACCAGGTGCAGTGGTTCATCAGTCATTTCTGGGGCACTTCCTTCCAGCACTTTACTGAGGCGGTCGGACACTGAGAGACATGTCTCATGCAATGTCATGCGTCACGCTATTGGTTCTGCTGGGAAGTTTCAACCAAAAGATTTGGAGTTGATGGATCTTGTTATCGCAGTAGGCTCTTGTTACCCATCCGTATGCAGCCCTGTGCCTCAAAAGGTTCATCTATTCAACTTTTAAGTATGGAAGGCGGAGGCACAGTCTGGCCAAGTCTCCTTCAAGTGGTTGGTGGCAAGCCTTATATCAGAACGCACTCAGCCTGTGGGCAGCGTATGGCACCCTTGCATGACCTTTGTACATCTTCGTAGGGTCACCACGAACCAATCGAACCGATGTTGTACGACATCCGTACCACGACACAAGGGATGCTTTTAGATTGGTGACGCAAGTGCGGTCGTGTGACACTTACGATCTTAAAGCCTTAAATGTGCCTAAAAGACAGACTAAGACGCCTAAGATTCAGAGGCCATTGCTCTTAGGTTGGAGGCCATCGTTTTTAGGTTCTCTTAAGACCTAAGACTGGCTCTCCTTTTTGCTCGCTGCCGCTCGTCCAAGTCTGAAAGGTCCAAAGCCAGCCCCAAATTCCAACCGAAAGCTTTTGTGCCGGTAACAAAGGGGTACTTAAGCCAAGACAGACTCACTCTGAAGAACGATCTTTGTTAAGGGAGTGACGAAGGAAATAGGCATTGGCACCACAAATTCAAGTTGAAAACTGTTTCCCGTCAGCCAAGGTTGTAAGCTTTGTTTTCTTTTTGACAACGCTGACTGGGACCGCTTCTGAGCCAACGATGATCTGAACCGTGAGAGAAAGTGTGACATCTGAGGTCCTAAAGCATGGGATGTCTCTAAATTACGCGCACTGGCAGGACACTTGTGCGCGTCAGATGCGACCAACAGCATTTGTTGAATACTTCAGGAGGAAGAAAGTGTTTCTTCTTAGCGTGTCTTACAATATCTGCGTGGATCAGCCCCGGTCGAAATTCAGAAGTCGATTTCGCGTGGCCAGTGTGGGACGACCAATGACCACTTGAACAGCTATGGAAATTCGACCGTGTGAGGCGACATAAGCGTCTTGCAGGATTCAACGGGAAAGGGGAATCTTCAAGAAAAACTTTTTCCCTAGTGGTGTGAAGCGGTTGTTTCAAGCGGTAACCTTTGACTGACGAAACGAATGCCACAGAAGAACTCGTTCCCACAAAATAGGGCTCACGACTTATTTACCCGAGTGTTGCTGCATCTTACAGATCGGTGATGCATAGTTCTATTTAGGCCTTTCTTCATTTTTTTGTTTTTTGTCTAAGAGCGATGGCCTCCAAACTACTAGCGATGGCCTCCAACCTAGTAGCGATGGCCTCCAACCTAGTGGCGATGGCCTCCAACCTAAGAGCGATGGCCTCCAACCTAAGAGCCATGGCCTCCAACCTAAGAACCATGGCCTCCAACCTAGTAGTGATGCCCTACAACCTAAGAGCCATGGCCTCCAACCTAAGAGCGGTGGCCTCCAACCTAAGAGCCATGGCCTCCAACCTATAAGAGCCATGGCCTCTAACCTAGTAGCGTTGACCTCCACAACCTAGTAGCGATGGCCTCCAACCTAAGAGCGATGGCCTCCAACCTAAGAGCGATGGCCTCCAACCTGAGAGTGATGGCCTCCAACCTAAGAGCGATGGCCTCCAACCTAAGAGCGATGGCCTCCAACCTAAGAGCGATGGCCTCCAACCTGAGAGTGATGGCCTCCAACCTACTAGTGATGTTTATCTCCTTTAACTGAACGATCTTGTATGACTGTCATATAGACCCCATTCCCCTTGGTAGACCCCCTGCCTCGCACATGATTGTCCGCCGCAGGAGGTGACCTATTGGATTTGCACCTTTGCGAACAACCAATGGGCGGTGGAGGCAGAGCTGGGGAATGGTCAATGGCAGAACTCCTCCTTCTATTTGGCATTGACCAGCTCAAGTTGCCAAGGCAGGAAGTAGACAACCGGGAAACCAACAAGTTGATTGGCTGTGTTTTGACTATGTTTGGCCTGCACACTCGTGCAAGAAATTCATCCGTGGTATGCCATCAATCCTACCAATCAACCAAAAATATGCAAAATCCTGGTAAGACAGGCGTTCTGATGCTAACACTTTGATGTGTTACACTGTGACCCTGCGATGCATGGGAGATGACAAGGAGGGTTTGATTCCCAACCTTGAAATGCTATGCTTTTGCTATGTTAAAAGGCTCAAACTGCTTCACAAAGAATCATGATATTGCTGGTAGCAATTGCTCCATACTAACACAAAGTTCCTGTCTGTGGTAGAGGCACTTCGATGATCGTCGACGAGCTGGCTTTGCCCTTGCAGCGAGCGTGGTGCCTCTTCGAGGTCTTGCAGACCCAGCTCCGTGCTACGCATCTCGTCACAAAACAAGGACACAGCAGGTGAAGCCATGGACGAAGTAAGACAGTCTGAAGGCTTGCAAGAGAGAGAGAGAGAGAGATGGGCAGAAAAGGTTCAACCAGGTATCTCCAAATGCATGCGCTTTCCTACTTTCTCTCCTGTGTTTAAGGACGGAGACTGCGAGTGCCTTTGAGGGCTTGATACTCTGCACCTCTACAGGTGTCTTGCGGAACGGCCAGGGCGGTGTAGACGTGGCGATGGCCATTGCACGGCAGCTGGCGCAACTCGATCTCCGAGATGCCCAAGCCTCTGCAGAGAGCGATCGCTTGATGATCTATGCCTTGGTGGAACAAATGCCCGGGGGATTTGATGTATCTTGGAGGAACGCTATTAGGAGCAAGGACGCTACTAGTAGTTCTTTTGATTCATGTGCCTCCCTCCATGTCTCCATACTCATGTGTGAGAGAACACCAGCACCCCGAGGCTGTGAACGGCTTTGTTCGGAGCTCCATCCGGGACTCGCTGCTGACGATGCACCAACGTTTCGAGGAGGACTTCGCTCAGGTGCTTCTTTGAACACGCTTTCTACGTTCTTTCTCTCGAAAACTCTTCGATTGACGTACCTGCAAAACCTTGGAAACTTTGACAAAAAGCGTGCTTCAAACAAGACTTCTCTAAGGTGCTCCAGACCCTCCAGGCTTCCAGAGATGGCACACTACCTGAAGAGAGGCTGCCAATGCTGCTGGGGCACACAGCGATGTCAAGGTCCAGTAAGACATGTCCGGGGCCAATGCAGTCCCTGGATTTGGTTTGAGAGTGGAAATAAATAAGCTCCACAATTTGGGATGAGCCAGAGATCTCAAAAATTCCAAGAACAGGTTTAGATGAGATAGCTAGAGAGACGTGGCTTACAAGCTCTTGGATTGCATGTAGACACTGCCGATTCGCTCTACACCAGCCGGCGCATCCCAGTGGAATTCATCACGCACTGCGTTGAGCGGCAAAGGCGCCTCCCATGTAAAGCCAGGGAGGTCGTGCAGCATGTGTACAGAATTGTTTGAGTTTGCAACAAGTTTTGGGTTGGCTATAAGAGCCATTGCTTCGTATAGGATTATCATGACTACCTTCCAGCTTTCCTCATGGGAGAAACAGAGGCTGCAGGCCCCAAAGCTCATTAAGTTGTTTGAATTCAATTGCTCGCAGCCAGATGACTGACAATAAACCATATGCAGGTCAGCTGCTAATTCTCTTTGTTACTCTTTTCTCGTAGGTCAGCTGCTAATTGCTGGCTTGGGAGTCGCTGATGGGTACCACCGTCGTCCGGCCAGTGGCCTCAGGGATTCTCCATCACATCACTGGATGCAGCAGAACACATCGTACCAAAAAAAGCACCATTGATATACTTAAAATGAGTCGTAGATGTTGCAGGAGACACATCTCTTGAAAGGCCTTCGGTTTGGCCGTTCAGCAGGATCGGAACGCATTCTTTACGACCACTCAAGGAGAGCCTAGGCAAACCGCAGAGATCAATCAAGCCCGTAGGTCCTAATTGAAGTCAAAAGACCTTGGAAGAGGTGCCCCTTGGATTTTACACAAACGTGAAGGCCATGGCTTTGCGCAAAGAAGTTTTGTGGAAGGGTCTATTACATGATGTGTTTCTAATATCCGTTTGAGTGATTCCAAGCATCTCTCACAATTGCCACTTGAGGACCTCACAGCCGAAAAGTTTGTGTCCCTACCAGGCGGCTCGTGGGAAGGGTTGATCGAACTCTAGCGGCTCGAGGAGAGTTTTACAACACATTTTTGTTCGGGCTGTGAAAAGGTTTGTGAGTGGCTTCGCGTGACCACCGCAACTTTAATCAACAGAACCTCTAGAAAATCACTGTGAGGACTGTGGGGTCCATCGAACTTGAAGTGTCCGCTCGTTTTAAACGTGTCCAATCATTGCTACATGTGCTCCCAACAGTGAACTTCTATCCAAACAAGACAGGGGTGCAACACTTCAGTCACCACAAACTTGAGGACCTCATTCTTGTTGCCAAGATGATGCAAGCAACAATTTCTAAGCAGCATAGAAAGTGTCATTGCTTTCAGATTCCAGTTCTTCTGTGAATCTGGCCTGTCATCGTGGAAGTAATCCCAAGTTTTGCTGTTAGAAAGGGTTCAAGTTGAAAGCTTCAAAAACACATTAATTCATCTTAGTTATGTGTTTCCTTTTCTTCTTTGGACCCTCCTCAGTCTAATTTCCTTCCTTGAGGTGCTGTTCGGGCTTTCCAGAGTGGCGACTTGGTCCGCGTGACGGGGAACGTCTTGCAATGTTTAGGGCGCATGGATCACCAGGCGACACCTGAGAAGACGAGAAGGCCTTATCAGTAGCCTACTCGCAATCGCCTCCAAGCTAGTAGCGTCCTTGCTCCTAGTAGCGATGCCCTTTGCCCCTAGTAGCGTCCTTGCTCCTAGCAATGGCCTCAGGACAAAGAGATGGGAATGGCGACTGTGTTCTGAGCGACTACTCGTTTGACTCATCTACACGTTTCTAAGTGGTCGGATCCAGAACTTCCATTTTCCGACTCCACCCGACTCACGATTCTCTCCGAAAGAAAGCTTATGGACCCTCTAAGAAGGAAATATTGAAATCAGACCTTCCTTCTAGGAGCAAGGACGCTACTAGGAGCTAAGGGCATCGCTACTAGGAGCAAGGGCGCTACTAGGGGAATATTCTCTTCTTCTCGTTCACTGTTTTTCCGATTTAACACCGGCAGATTGACAGTGATAGAGGTGAAGATCCGTGGCTTTCGCCTGGAGCTGGGCGAAGTGGAGACGGTCCTCGAAAGGCATCCGGAGGCCGGAGCAGTCGTCTGAACGAAAAGAACCTACCTCCTTCTAATGGCCTCCAACCTACTAGCGACGGCCTCCAACCTGATATCGAAACTTTTAGACCTTCGTCTCTTTGTTTTTGTTTCTTGTTTTCCTTGCTATCGTGATGCGGTATAGCCACTGGCGTTTCACATCAGAAATGCGCCACATAGTCTTGTGTAGGCTGAAGAGAATCAGAACTACTGAGGTGTAGATTTCCTAAAAATCCGAACTTCCACTGCAGGAGGATCAACGAGTCTTAAAGTTTGCAAGCTGTGAAATGGATTGCGTCGGCAGTGCGGTCCCCGATTTTTCCGCCGAAGACGCGAAGCTCCGAAGACGCGGAGCTTCAAAAACGAAGACGCGGAGCTTCAAAGCTTCAGAGCTTCAGGAGCTTCAGAAGCTTCACAGCTCCACCGAAGACGCGGAGCTTCAGAGCTTCAAGAGCTTCAGAACGATTCCGGGACCACGCTGCCGATGCGGTCGTGAAACCATTAACTTGGTTGATTTCATGGTGGAGGTTTTCCCATCATATGAGGATCAAGTTTGTTGTTCCTTCCAGCAGTTAAATTGAGATGAGAGTTGAAGGCCTGTTGGGACTGGTAGGATGTCATAAGCCAAGCTTTGCTTTGCAGGTAGATGCAGCTGTTGCATTGCTTCTGGACTGTGATGAAGGTGACTTGGAAGAAGCAAGCTGGTGACAAGTTCAGAATCCGAATCAGTAGAGCTCGAAGAGCTCGAAGTTTTGATCGATTGATAGAGATCACCTGTCGCAGCTTAGAACGAAGCCGAAACATGGTAAGGGACGCATGCCGCGACCCGAGCTCTGTCCCATTCTGCCCCTCCAGGCCCGGAGCTTTGTGCCTTTGTAACGAAGAAGAGCCAAGCTACGCGAGCGACGGAGCGGGGCGCACTACGTGGCGCCCTTCGGCGGCACGTGGCGGAAGCGCTCCCGAGCTACGCCCGGCCGCAGCGCCTGGCAGTGATGGAGAGCCGAGCAACCGAGTTTAGAGAGAAGAAGTTCCATACAAGAGCATGAACAGTATGAATACAATTAAGGAGTAGATTTCATCAAGAGTTGCATGCGTGCAAGATTCATGCAAGTGTGCCACTAATGCTCGGTGTGTTTGGTCATAAATCATTGCTTTTGTGTTCAAGCTAGACTTATTCTGCACATGTGTTGGTCATTGGATTGGCGGAGTCCAAAGTTTTGCAGCTAACGAGCACTAAACCTCCTCGATGTCAAGCTGATCGCCAGAACAAACAAATTTGTTTCACTCATGAATCATCCAACGAAAGACAGACAGAAAGGTCTAATTGTCTTGAGAAGCGAAAGGAATAAAAATAAACGACCGAAAAGGACCTTCGAGTTGTCGCAAGTCTGTTTGTTTTCGACGTGTCGTCGCATGTCGTCTTTTGTCCAGGAGTCTTTCCCTTTGCTGCCGAGTGGCAAAGTGGATCGACGGAGCTTGCAGCAAGGCTTGGCTTCAACGAGTGCGTGAAAGACACACCGAGCAACCACAACAAACAAAATGCACATGAAATATAACCAGAAAACAATTTTCTTTTGAGTTACTAATAGCGATGGCCTCCAATCTACTGGCGATGGCCTCCAACTTCTGGTACCCAAGCAAGAACCGTTTCGTTGTGAGGAGTTTTCTTCCAACAAGGAACACTTCTCTCACTTGGCTTGGCTTCACTTCTGTTTCGGAGGCCCGCGGCCTCCACCGCTGGCGGAAGCGGCCGAGGGAACCATACACGAGTCTTTGGACGAGATTGATTGGCAAAGCCCCAGTCACGAGGAGGCCGGGACGCTTAAGATGCACGTGAAAAGCAGGAGTTTGTGGCGACGAGGTTCGGATGGAAAATCCTGAAAAAGACGCATCACAGCACGAAGCAGAAAGTGCTTGAAGGATCGGGTCTGTTTTTTTCTGGTTTCTTCAGGAGGCAGCCTTGCGGCAAGCTGTGGCGGATCTCTTGGCCATGGTGACCGGTGTCGTCCTTGAGGCGACACAACGGCCAGACAAAACGAAGGCAAAACCAGGATCGCCTCGCCAAGACTGCTCCGTAAGATGTGCTCTCGGGTTCAGACAGTTCAGACGTTCCGAAAAATTAAAAAGACAAAAAGAAACATTCACTACTAGGAACAAGAAGCTACTAGGAACACTGTTTGAGTCAGCTAGTGAGTCGATGTGTCACCTGAGTAGCGCAAAATTGGTTTCCTCTCCAGGACACTGAGCCACTGGGTGCCTTGGGAATCGACTCCATGAGCCACTCAGCAAAACGGACACTGAAAGTCTCTCGTTTAGGACCAGAAAGAGAACCGTATTGTTCCCCACATTGACGTGTGGGGTTTTTGTGTTTAGTGTTGGATCCGCTCCTTCCTCCGCCTCCTCCCACCTCCCGCTTGTCACGAACAAATTGCCACCAAGTTTTTCTTCTTTTAGCCCGAGGCCCCGCCTTCCTACTTAATTAAGTAGATACCTACTTAATCAAGTAACGGACTAAGCTCCTAGCTCCTTGGACGCTCCAAGTCACTGGAAACAGAATAGCTCACGCTTCTTCAATCAAGCGCTAGCACTAAGGATTTGGTTTCTTGATTGTCAGGGAAACTGAATTTTGCGAGGAAGAGTCTTACAGTAGTCAGTAGTCAGGCGTTTACAGTAGCAACAAGAAGGTAAGTCCATTCCCCACTGGGAATGACGCTACTAGAGGCTCCGTCATCGCTACTGGGAGCAAGAAGCTACTAGGGGGCCCTCACCTTACTACTAGTAACAAGGACGCTACTAGTAACAAAGGGCATCGCTACTAGGAGCAAGGACGCTATAAACTCAGGACTCCTGGACCAAACGACCAAGTTCCTTTGTTCCTAGTAGCGTCCTTGCTCCTAGTAGCGATGCCAGGAGCCCCTAGTAGCTTCTTGTTACTACTAGTAAGGCACCTGTTACTAGAAGCGATGCACTTGTTACTAGTAGCGTCCTTGTTCCTAGCAGTAAGGCCAGGAGCCAGTAGTGTCTTCAGACTCTGACTCCCAGGTGCCATCCCCTTGGCCGAGCTGCTTTCCGCCCAGCTCCTCCAAAACGCTGAGCTGCCTCTGGAGGACCTCTATGCGGCTCAGAGCACAAAAGCACGAAGTGTTTGACTGAGTTGCTTTAGACAGAAAAGGGGAGGTGAGAGAGAACGCAGGATCTAGTCGGATAGAGTTCGCAGGGAGTTTCTCGAACCCGTTGCCCCTGAACAGGTCGGTTTCACTCCCCTTTGTCCTCCGCTGTCCTCCCAGGTCTACAATACACTGCAAAGTCTTTGCGGCTACTTGAAAGGTAAGGAAGGGGTCGCTGCGATGCTTTTGGGGGGCATGTTGGAAGAGTAGATAGTAAGCGACAGGGTGGGCTACTAAGTTGCTAAATGAAGAGGTCGAATTCTTTACTTCCCAGCCACTGCTGACGTCGAATGGATAGGCCGCTTGGCAGAGATGCCGAAGAAGCCGCCTGGCGGGGGTGGGCCGCTTGGCGAAGAGGAGTAGCGACGAGCAGCTAAGTAGAACGCGTCTAGACATGGACGCAGGATAGCTGCACTAATGATGTGGTTTCTAGATGATTTAGGAAAACTTAACTAAACCCTTCTAAGAAAGGAAGACTTTTCACACAAAGGATACACACAGAATGTATTTCTCTGTGATGGCCAAGACCTAGGACATTTTTCAAGTTGCCTTGCTTGGTTAAGCCTATTCCTTATGCTCTGGAAAAGAGACAAGAAAGCGCACATGTTGTTTCTTGAAAGCCGTGTCTTTTCCTCGTAGCGCAGTCTTGAGTTTGAAATCCCCTCAGAGAAAATCCCGTTTCTAGCAGGAAAGTGTGCTGGTTTTAGGCCTTTGGACCTTCCTTCCTTCCTTCTTTCTTAAGACAGACATAATTTATAATAGTTTCTGAAAAAGGATCACGTTCTTTGAGGACAAGTACAAAGAAAAGCGGGAAGACGTCTGGAAAGGCATCTTATGCCGAGCTGAAGAAAAGCATCCGCCTCAGGATGGGTCGAAGTCATTCTGTGTCGAATGAGGCAAGAAGGGAAGAAGCAAGAAAGGAGTGTAAAAAGGGGGAATTGGCTTGGAGGCCATCGCGAGTAGGTTCACAGGATTGCTCGGCACCGAAGTACAAAAGGGCGAGACCTTCCGAGGTCGACAGCCGAAGGGCGAGACAGACGGCACGAAGACGGCGAAGATGGTGCCTGGATTGGAGGTGAAGAATGTCTCAAAGCTGGTAACAAGGGCATTGGATCTCAAGGAAACAGGCACAAAGAGGCCAAATGGTTGTTCTCCCAAATGTGAGACCTTCGACTGCTGAGAAATGGGCATCAGTTTGTTCAAAATCTTCTCGATCTTCAGGGCCCGATTGAAGACTTACTAGTAGCTTCTTGTTCCTGGAGGCCTGTCGTGCTGGAGATGTGGCCAAGTTGAAAGAGTTGCTCTTGGATGGCTCGCCGGCACTCTCAGGAAGACACTGGAATTGGTTTCGGTTTGAGAAGTGAAAGCAGGTTCACGAAACGATTGAAGCCTCAATAGCTCAAGCTTCAAAACTGGAGAGCCAATGTCTTCACTGTTTTCAGCATTGGAGCAAATTGACGCGTTCTCCCATTCGCGTCCCCTTTCCGGTTCGCATTCTCAGATTCCACGTGACCACGCTGGACCGCTTCGGCGGAAGTGGCCTCCACTGGGCCGCCAGTGCTGGGCATCTCGAGGCGAAGAGCAGAATTTCGTTCTTTCGCATCTCTTCGTCAAGGACGAAACAGGTGCCACGCTACTAGAAACAAGTGCCTTACTAGTAGTAACAAGAAGAATTTAAATAGAATTGTACCTGTTTCTTTCTTCTTTGTATCGTTTTTTTCCGAATGCGTATAGTGAAGGGTAGAGCCTTGTTCGCGAGTCGTTGTCGCAGCGACCGCAACCGTTCGCAGGTGGAGCGCTATGGCGCTGACATTGGGCGAAGTTGGAGAGGGTTTTGGATGGAAGCATAACGTGTCAGATTCGTGTGAAATAGCGAGGAAACGTGTGACAACGTGAGAGGATGAAGTGTGGAGGATACTTTCACTGCGCAGGCACAGCGTTTTGTGAGATGGGCAGTTTTCTGCGCAGTCACATTGGGATTGGCGCTTGTGTCCTACAAGGGCGTCCCACAAGAGTCTCCCACAAGAGTGTTCCGCGAGAGCATCCCAAAAGAGTGTCCCACAGAGTGACGAATGTATTGCAGGAGTGCGTCCCACAACGGTGCTCTACAAGAGCGTTTCCCACAGTGTCGAAAAATGTTGGGGGCTTGTTTTCGAGAACGTGCTTGCATTCGGGCTCGTGGGTCCCATCTTGTTTTTTAGTCCGCTCTCCCCAATCCCTACTTAATTATGTAGGCGCCTATTCAGTCAAGTTATTAGCTACCAGTACAGGACGCCCCTAGGTAGGACGCAGGATAGCTCACCTTTCCCCCCACTACTCATCTAGTTCCTAGATTTTCTTGGTGGGAGACTTGTGGACTCAGACAATCCCTCAGGTCTTTGGTGTCTTTCAAGTTGGCGAGGAATGTAAAGTGTTGAAATTCACCTCATCCCCATGGACCCCGTAGCGTTGACTCTC